CTTGTTGTTACTCTTTTACAACGTAAAAAAAGCCAACCACACGTCAGGCCATATACTACACAGTTCCTCGAAGAGGCACTGTCTTATGTTATTAGATGTCATGAAGAAGATCCTTCGCGACATTTGTTTTGCACTCCTAAGCTGACCGAGATTACAACTGAAATGTTACCATTATTTGCAGTACCAGATCAAGATTCTTCAATTTTACATTTTCGTCAGATAATTGAAGAGGAATTAAAACATTGTTTCTCGTGTGTCGAAGTATTTCATACCGAAAAAAAACAACTCTATAACAGGTAACTTGACTTCATATTTATAATACCTTCAAACCATCTTGAACCGGTTTTGACTTTTTTTGCATTTTGTCAGATTTTCAAAAGTATACATTAACGAGAAATTAAATGTAGACAAATTCTTCTCGAATTTAAAAAAATGGATCAAATCACGAGTATGTTATGGGTTAGAGGTGATAAAATTAAACTTGAAATATGTAAATCCCATTCAGTTGATAGGAATGGAAATTTCTCCAAATAGTGCTAGAATTACAACGGCGTTTTTAGAAACACTTCTCGACCCATTTCTATTAATAGGATTGAATAATTTGTTCGTTGACATTTTGGTACATTTCAAAGCCAACGAGTCATTCAAATTAACACACCGTTATTTGCCGGGTGTACTCATCTTAATGTTACATGAGAGAGCCGAAGTAAGAAATTGGGCACGGACATCACTACAAGGAATGACTAAGACTCTTGAGATGAAAGAATTTCAGAGTTGTGCTTACTTTTCCTCGTCAGTTCAGGCTATTTTACAGAAACTTAAGGGTTTCAATGATCCTCCTGATAAGACTACAATACAATTTATACTCACAAAAGATTTGGTCGATGCTTGGGAAGGAGTTAAATTAATATTATCTGTCATAGATCAAAATATCATTCTAAGAAACTTCTTTGAACGTGATTTAAACATAATTCAGATACTTTACGACAATCTGCAATCATCATCTAATATCGATGAATCTGTTTTCATTGAGTTACTTGGCTGTTTGGAAATTCTTCTGGACAAAATTGGTTCCCAATTTTGGGATCATATATCATGTTCACATTTGCTATTTTTTCAGAGTTTGTTTACTACATACTCTTCTATCAGATCAAATCCATTATCTTCCAAAAAACTTTATGGAATCTTCATAAAGTTTTTGCAGAAATTGCGACAAACGTTTCCCGATATTGAACCATCAGAACGGCTGGAAGAAACTGCTTCTGAAAAAACTATAACGATGTCAATTTTAACTGAAAGCCAGAATATCATCGAAGACATTTATATTAAATGGCATTCGTCTATATATGATAATGGTTCAATACTCAGTACTCAACTTCGAGGCATTTTGTGGATCAATGTACTTATAGAAACATTTGAAATCCTTATTTCATCTGATGAATACTATGTGGAAATGAACGTTTTATTGTTTAAGTGTATTCATAAAATTGCACTTATGGACATAATAGAGATGGGACGACATCATGATAATGTTCAATTAACATTTTTCATCGACCTATTAAATAAACTGCGAGAACAAATAGATAGATTTTTAAAAAAACTTTGTAATGAAGATTCGAAAATAATTCCAAGTATTTTGCCAATTGAAGAGGTTGCCTCTCCAATGGTCTGTCTCCTCTTTTCGACTAACGGAGAGTTCATGATTGAAAGTCTAACACTTTTGAAAAAACTGTATCCAATCAACACTTACATAGAATTGGTTCAACGAATCACAGTACCTATTATAGAAGGTATAATAGGTGTTCTTCATACATTCGCCAAATGGACTGAAATCGGATGTGATACCTTTAAATTGGCTGGAAGTATACAACAACTATTATCGAATGCATTTTTTCTACCTATATTTGGTGATTGGGGCATATCAAAAAATCAGTCATTGTCTCAAGATATCAATTTATTGATTCATAGATACTGGGATGCTTCATGGTGTGCGTTCACTCAAGTATTCAAAAAATATGATGATTCAGTTTCTGCAACAATTCATGATGAGGTCATTATTCAATTATCCAGTTACGTAGAATTAGCAACTCATATGTTGCAGCGACATTCAGACCCAGCTTTTGGCTCTATCGATTCTCTTAGTCTGACAGATCCATTCTGTCAAGCTCTAAAATACATCATCGGTTTGGTAGAGTGCAATAACCGTGATCTAATACAAAAATTACACCGATTGACTTGTGAGATACTTTATGTTCTAACTACATATGAGTTAACTATGGATAGTAGTTTGTATGTTAAATTGGTGAGAGTTTCAAACGAAGGTCACTTCACCGTTGATGAGCGGAATGAATTGAATGCCGCATTATCCAAACACGTAACGAACGGACGTTTATTAGAGACATCGTGTGACAATAGAGCAAGTTCATACATGAGTACATCAACATCATTATCTAATAATCTTATAGTGCCTACAAAGGAATCTAATAAT